TTTTTTTTTTTTTTTTTTTTTTTTCACTTCAATAGATATTTCTTCAAAGGGCAGAGTAACTGAGCTGGAGTTAATTAATGCATTAATCCAGCCTACAAATTAATCTGGCCGTAAGTAGCTGCACAATGCCATTTATTCTTTGCTGTAGAATAGCCCGAGAATGGGTGCTTCTAGAGCAGCTGTACCCCAAGATAGGGGCCATTGTGGTTACATCACAAAGAAATAGAAATAAGATGAAGCCCTGAAGGCTGCTCGATGGTCTCAGGTCGGATGGAACGTGGTGATGGTGATTTTCTCTTTTTCAATCAAATATACCAATGGCCTTGCTTTTAACAGTGTTTAAAAAAAAAAGTTATTCTAGTCAAGGAAATTAGGGGAGAATGCGACTGGAATATATAATTGTGATGTGACTTGCTTTTCCCCAATAGCAAAACCATTACACATGCACGTTTCCCTGTGGTGCCGGGGCCCAGCCAGGTATCACGGAGGGAACCTGGGATGGAGAGTAGCAATGTAATAATGTAATAACGGGCCGTCCAAGTTTAAGATTCTATTTGTTTTTACTTCCATTCTCAAGTGAAAGGAAGTATGGTTGATTTTCTTACGAATACCTGAATGGCATGTATATTCTTTATTTTTCATAATAGATTTTTCCGTGTGTGTACGTGGGGGGGGGGGTTATCAGTCGAACCATCATGAATAATTTTCTGATCAGTTTCCATTGTGAGGACGAGAACCCTTTAGAGACAGGTGCTCCTGGACGGAGCGGCAGAGCCACGGAGCAGCCGGCGTGAGCGTGAGTCGGGCCTCGCGCTGTTGCTCCTTAGCTGCCTGTCTCTGGACAAGCTGCTTTCTTTCAGCCTCCCTTCCCGCATCTTCTGCGGGAAATCATGCCTCCTCTGAAGAGCTGTGATTAAGGAGCGAGTGCAGAACACTTATCGCTGGGCCTAAGTATTATTTGCAAATGGACAAGTATGCTGTTGATTTTGAGGAAGCCGTAAGCGGCCTGTTTTTACAGCGGGGCCTTGACATTTGGACACTGTGCTGACGGTCCTCGGAATTAATACCTTATACGCAGATCAAGGTCCCCCTACCCATGAGCACTTTTTAGAGTGTTCGTCGGCTGGCAGTAATACTTTGTTTTTTTTGAAAGAGCCCTGTAGGCACTTACTGGGATAAGGTGGCCCCCGGGACGCCTCGGTTGAGAATTAGGAATGAAGAGCAGGCACCTGCTAACCCGGTGACGCTCAGCCCAGGTGCACTTTGCAAACACCTGGCAAGATTTTTAAAAAAAAAATCGTTACTGCTGAGTCCTACCCTGAGCCATTCTGATGCAATTAGTACGGCGTCTGTCCTGCCAGGACATCAATGATTTTAAAATTCTGCCAGTGTTTTTAATAATAACTGGGCGAGGCCTGTAAATTATCAGCCATTCTGGATAAAGGAGCAGAGGAAGGAGGTCCACTGGCAGAGACAGGAGAGTAAACCAGCAGCTTGTGCGGGAGGAGAGAGGGAGACAGATCACGTGGCTCTTCCTGGGGCCCCCGCCCTCCCTGGAGGCCCCCCTGCACTCCTCCCTGACCCTCGCGAGGTAATTCTGTGCCTCGTAGTCACCCTCTGAGGCTGGTTTCGTTCCTTGCAACCAGAAATCCATTCTAAGCTGGAAGTTAAACATTTTGGAGGGCAGAGAATGCTTGAGTTTTAGTAGAATCTGGCAAAATTGTGAGGTGCGTGGGTTTTTACGTGGCTTTACGGGGGTGAATTATAGGCTGCGTCTGTTTGCATAGTAACCGCCCTGCCCAGAGCAGCACTTACCATCCCCACTAGGTGGCTCTTTTGAGAGCCTTGGCTAACCCAAGTCTTGGAGGTAAGAGCCGCATGTTGCTCCCCGTTGGAATCGCAGGACTGTTACGTCCCGATACAGCCGGTGATTGTTTCACTAAACTGACTATCATCTTACTAGAGACTGAAGTAAACAGAGGCTAAGTGCCCCAGGTCACTAGTCCCGTGCATTCAACAAATAATTTGCATGAACATGGACAGCAGTGAGGTGATCGCTGGGCGGGGGGCCGAGGGGGGTGGAAGGTAAGGGGGGTCAGTGGCGGTGGACACACAATACAGTGAGCAGATGATGTGCTGTGGAATTGTGCCCCCGAAACCTGTACAATTTTGTTAACCAGGGTCACCCCAATAAATTCAATAAAGAGTAGGAAAAAAATATTTTGAGTGTCTTTATGCCAAGTGTTATCCTAGATGCCAGAATCCTGTTAGGTAGGAGACGCACACGCCACACGAGGGCAGACAAGGGTGGTGTGGTGAGCGAACACTTAGCTTGGGGGTGGCCAGGGGGCTTCCCAGCGGAGGTGACCGCGGGACTGACGCTGGAAGGATTGGGTGGGGTGTTCAAAGCACCAAAGCCAGGCAGAAACGAACGTTGCAGGGAAAAGTCAAAATGCAGAGACGTTTTGTTTGAGAAGTTATACGTGGTTTACTAGACTGACGTGAGATGTTGCGAGTGGAAGCAGATGAGACCAGAAAGTGTGTGACCGGGAGGAGCCCCGATCCCAACTGGGATCCTGTGAACTAAGGAGCTCCCATGGGAGGGAGAGGAGAGACGGGGGGACAGACACGCCTGACAGGCCAAGTCCCCATGAGATCTTCGGGAACCTCCCAGCGGTCAGAAAGGGGAGTCATGCTCAGCAAGCACCTACTATGCGTCGGCACCGTGCACTGTGTATAAACGTCTCTGTTAGATCTTCCCCATGGTGCCAGGTGCCTTAGTACAATGTTCCTTCAACAATGGGAACGTCACACTTTGATGGTAACTGTTCAGAACCTGTTTGGTTTCTGAAAAGAGAAGCCCCGTCACACACGTGAGGACATTGTCCATTGTCTAAACTGAAAGTCCCCTGAGCCCTGAGCTTGTCATTGTCCAGTGTGCCCATGAGGTAGGACGTCAGGCACCCAGTGTTCCCCTCTGCTGTGCTGGCCACGTGCAGGAGAGGGGACCGGGGCCTGCCAGGTGGCTTCCTTGTCTCATAAGCAGCAGTGAGATGGCTGGAAATGGCATTTGGCCTCCTACCTGCCGTTGCCTGTCTCTCTAAGCAGCAATGACAGGCTCACAAATTAGGTTTAAAAAAATTAGGTTTAGGCCGGGCTGATGGGACCAGGGAGACAAATTCTGAAATGACCCCCTTTCGTGCTTGCATCTCAGGATGTTTTACGTAGTTTTTGCTAGTTTGTTGCATTTGTTGTGTTACTGCTGATACTCTCGACAACGCCTTTTCAACGAGAAAAGATGCCGCTCCCTGGGTTGGGTCCCCTGCGAATGACTGGGCTCCTTGCCGATTTTCATTGTCTTAAGCAGGCCCCTGTAAACTCCACGAATTCACATGCTGGGGCGCCGTGGTGTTTGTGAGGGTGAGGTGGGGGGTCAGCCGTGGCACCAGACCAACCCCCGCCTGCTTGTGTTTTGCAGTCACAGTGCGGAGCCACCGTTCCCGCCACACCCACGCTGCCCCTCTTCCACACGCCCGTGGACCTGGTGGACATCAGCGTGGAGATGGCTGGGCTGAAGTTCGCCAACCCCTTTGGTCTTGCTAGTGCCACGCCAGCCACGAGTTCCACGATGATCCGGAGGGCGTTTGAGGCCGGCTGGGGTTTCGCCGTGACCAAAACTTTCTCTCTGGATAAGGTATGAAAGTATTTTCAAAGCCATGTTTACGTGTCTCTCTGGTATTTCAATTAGGGTATAAATATTATAATGGAAAAGTTTTCTGGCCAAGCAATAATAGTTATGAAACTATCAGGCAAGACCTAGTATTAGTAAATATTAGTCTTTACTTTCCTTCTATCCCTTCTGTCCCAGGAAAGCGGGGCAGGTGGGGGGCATGTGTTTCTCATTTTGTTTAGTCTAGACTAGGAAGCATCGAAAATATAAATAGCACAAAAGTGGCTGTTTATATAATCATTTAATAATCACAGTCGCATGAGTTGTTGGGTCTGCAGCATTAATTGTTCTGTAATTTCTGGGGGTGTGAATGGGCACATGCACCTCCACTCGAAGTTGGGGAGACAGTGGGGTTGGTTTGCAGTCGTCCTAATTCACGTCGGAAGGAGTCTCGGTGTAACTCATTTGTGCTGGTCACAAATAAGATTTTTCTTGAATTTTTAAATGCAGAAGCTTTTCCCCCAAAATACATATGCTTGAGTTTAATTTGACATTATGGTTGACTTCCTGCCCACACAGGCAGTGGACACACTTAGTAGAAAATAAACGACATATTCCAGTTGAGATTGATTTTTTAAAGTACACAAGCTTATGAATGTGTGTTGTTCGAGTAGGTTGATCATGCAGCAGAGGGTTGCATCCTTACAAGGTTTTGAATTAGAAAAGAGCAGCAGAATTTAACATCCCTTAAACCTTTATTGATGAAATTTTAAATGAGAAACCTATTGATGTATTTAGTGCTGACTGGTAGTTAGTAATAATTAATGTATAAGAATGTGCGAATCTAGTGACTAGGAAAAGATTACCGTTATTTAAATCGGCCCTATCCTCAGGCAAAGAAGATAATAGAGAACGAATATGCCCCATTAAACACACTCTCCCTCCGCTGCCTTTTCCTCGGAAGGCTCGGTAGCTGGCGCTGTTTGGGCTGGAACGTGACGGCCGTCTGCCCCGGGCAGCTTCACAAGGTGCGATGAGCAGGTGTGGGCAGGAAAAGCCAGAGAACCCTCAAAAGTTAGGAAAACCAGCGTAGGAAAAACATACTTTGTAAATATATAATAGCTAGAGGAAGATTCTTTTTAAAAAAAATTGGCCAATATTTAGAAATCTCTGGTGAAGCAATGTGTAAAAATACAGACCACACTGAATTCAGCTGCAGAATATTGCTAACTGATTGTTTGCAACCTTGCAAGATATTGATACTATGTTTGTGGAATATTGATACTATGTTTGCAGGATATTGATACTACGTTGTGGAATATTGATACTATGTCTTTGTTGCAACTGAGTCTGTGATCGTATTTAATGACTACATTAGTTTTAGTATTTTAAAATTGTTATATGTGAACAAAAATAGGTTGCTAATCAGATACTCTTGAAGAATTGTAGTCAAAACAAACAAACAACAAAACAGTGTTTGTTTTGAATTTGCTGCTTCCTTTGCCTGCAAAAATTGAATTCTAATTAATCAGAGACATCTGTCTTTGCTCTGTCGGTGACCTGCATTGATTCGGGACGCTGGCTCCTTCCGTAGCCCAGGAGCAGTTCCCTTCATTAGGATCAGCAGCAGACACGAATATGGGAGCGAACTTCCTTCCCGCCGTCTAATTTGAGTTTAATCTCTCAATTCAGGATCTGTGGAGCCGGTCAGGAGAATGCGGGGCAAATGGAAATTAAATTTGGCACAGAAATCATCGGGATGGGGGGTAGGAAGCTCTCTCTTACTTTCACAGAAGGGGAAACAAACTATTTGTGCAAAGGCTATTTTGAAGGTATTTGTGAGGATTGTAGTGACCAAAATAATGATGCCACCTTGGGGTTCTGTGACGCCAGTCTCAAAAGCAGTCATTTTCCATACGTGATTTTGCAAAGTAGCCTGTTTGCTTCATAGAGATCGGTTGTTTTTTTGGCTTATCTCGCCCCTAACTAGTCATTCTACCTGCTGTGAACAGGTAACTGTGCTTCTTCATTGATAAAATGCTGCAGTGGACGACTCAGTCCTATAAACACCTGCTTCCCCACAGCCTCTCACTAAAGCCCTCCGTTCAGATAGCACATGGGCTGCGCCTCTGAGAGACACCGCACACAGCCATCTCCATGAGCCTCACTGCGATTTATTATGCCAACTCCAGAATCCGCTCCAAGAGCATTAACCTTCAGAATCTTGACATTTAAAGTCAGGATGCTCTTAATATGACAAAGGTTATTCTATGGTGTTTTGTTATCGCATGAAATATTAATATTTCACAATACAGTTTTGATGAAGCATCATTTGCGGAGCCTGCATATGATAAAGAAATTAAATGCCTACCAGGGGAGATCAGTAGAAATTAGAGCCTGGGCTCAACAGCTGCTGGAAACTGTGTTATCCTTTCGGGGGCAGGGCGGGGGGAGGCTCCCTTGTTGTTCTCTGAGATTGACGGCTGAATACAGCACTCGTTCCTACAGCAAATGTGTTCAGGTTGACTTTGTTTCCCTTTTGCCTTATTTTTAGGGGAGTTCGGAACAGGCTGTTGGTTTCCATGCTATACATTTTTTTATACCCTTGATGTTTGTTGATGCCGGATGGAGGTCTGATAGGCCACGGCCACAGTAGACCTTTGCTTTCCAGTTATTTAAATGCCAGTGGACACCTCAGAGCACAGAAATATTATTACTCCTCACGGCGCAGTCTGAATAAAAGCCTCGTGTGCTTCCTTTAGGGAGGCAAATGATCAGACTCTTAATGTCAGATGTAAAAAGATCTGTGTTTGCTTTGTGTTAAATAACATCAGAGACGGTTTTCATTAACTGTAGTCTTCCCTGCCAAGTCACTCATTCCTAGAACGCCCCAAAATACCAATGCTGCTTTTCCTCGGATCCAGCTTATGCTCAGAATGATGATATTTCAAGTGCCGTTATAAAAGTATTTAAATATAATTGCAGATTATTTTTTATATAAATATATATTGAGTTTGAGTTTAAATTTTAAAAGGATGGGAGAGAAAATCAATCTGCCAAGCTCAATTTAAGCTAAACTCTCCTGACAAACCAGAGAAATGCTCAGCGTAGCTGGGAATATCAGAAATTGTTTAGTGATCGCACAAATAACCTCCTTACCTGTGTCACATTGCTCTAATAGGAAATCAAAACATTTGTTTCTGTTAATTACATCGTAACTTTTTTCTCATCTGAGGTAGCTACATTATGTATTATATACTGCAAACACATCATTTCTGACTGTGAGTTCCATGTACCTCAGTCACTACACAGGTAAACTCGAGCCGTTTATCTCTCTCCTAACCCAAATTCAAGCCTAAGTGAAAGTTCATTCCATTCATAAGCTGTATCTAGATATTAGAGTAAACTTGGGATTGATTTTTAGTAAGAAAATGCCTCGAATGCATATATGTCACTGTAATAATGTCAGATGATTAGGTAAATAAGTGTACACTTGATCAGTCTCTCTCAGTGTAAAATACTGAAAACTAAGCACTGAGAAATATTGAAGGGTCTTTATGATTTCTCTGGACTCACCGTATTGATTGTGGCTGTTTCCATCATCCAGTCCAACCTTATACCATCCACGCTTAGTGTGTAGGGAGAGTTTGATAAATGCTTCAGAAATATGTGTTGTATAAACGAATGAATAAATGAATAAATAGGTTTCTGGCAACGGCATATTGAAAGGTTTTATCAGCTGTGTGAATGGACAGTTAACACATGAAACATTGATCGTTCTGAGTATTGATCTCAGAGAAGAGGCCAATTTAAAGGTTCATATCCTGTGCTGCTTTCTAGAGTGTATGTTTACATGTCTAAAAATGAGAACATCAGTGGAATCTAAATGCGTGGATTGTATGTGAAGATGTACGTTGTTGAGTGGCCTTAAAAATGCAGAGATTTTGTTTTGAGAAAACAATAAGTATTGCACCGTTTTAGGAAGGGACATGAATATTATGTGGCCCAACTATCCAAGGTCCTTTGTCAGTAGCCCTGAGAGAAGAAACAGAACCTGCTCGTGGATGCTTCTCATGACACAGAAAATCCCAGGTCCTTAGGTGGTGCAGCCTGGCTATGGGATGATCTTTCAGAAACACCTGCCTTTTATTGTCCACAGATTAATTTCCATCCGTGCTTTATAGATCTGCCCGTGGAGGCATCATGGCATAAATTACTCTAACTTATTAACGTAGATGAATTGTTGATTTTAAAATTGGTGCTCTTGTTTTCCCAACTAAATAAATACACTAAGGAAAGGCTAACACGTGTGGAGAGGCCGTGCAGTCTGGGGAAAGAAACCTGAGCTGGAGAACCCTGGTGTCCACCCAAAACCGCTTCTGAATCGCCCTCTGAACTCGGGTGATGCTGCAGGCTTTGTTGTAATTATTATTATTACACACGTTTCTACCACTTACTGAGTCCTTAGAATGTGTGGACATTGCCAACGCTTTTTATTAGTTATTCATGGAATCCTCACAACATCCTTGTTATAAAATAGGTAGTAATTTTTTTCAGATGATATAATGGGCTGAGGAAGTTCAATAAATTGCCCGGGACTGAGAGCAACAATTACTTATTGGCTCACAGTCGTGTACATGGGTAATTTGGCTGAGCTCATCGGGACAGTCCTGTTTTCCATGGTGTCTGCTCGGCTTCCTCATGCTATGCAGTCAGTTGCGGGGGTGCCTGGAACTGGCAGGGTGGCCCCCCCCACGTGCCGGGGCCCTCAGGAGGAGTTGCCGTAATTGCTGAAACGGCTGAGCCCCTCCGTCCCTTCACAGTCTCACCCTTGAGACTTGTTCACAGCTTGTGCTTGTTCACAGGTGGCAGTGTCCCAAGAGGGTGAGGAGGAAGCTACAGGGCCTGTTGGGAAAAAGGCTCAGAAGTCACCCACTGGCACTTCCACCAGACTCACCTGGTCAAAGCAAATTACAAGATAGAATATACGTGCTTTGTTTAAGGAGGTGCAGACCCTCTGCCTG